AGAAACTGTAAAACCAGAGCTCTGTATCTGTCAGCCTCCAGACTAATGTGTGTTGCTCTATCACACTGAATACATGTTGAGATTATGTTGTGATTTTTAGAGACCAAAGACCAGTAGAGAAAACACAAGTTAGTCATTACTGTGTTTTTATGAACTCATCTATTCAGTATTGTCCCCCCACAAATCCTTGAAAATTAGGTTCAAAAGAAAGAACTCAGCCAAGAACAGCAAAAATTACACATTTATTTTTCATTATGCCATTAAATAATTAATCTGGGTTTTTATTTCTGGTTAGGAAAACACTCGGTGACCTCAGAAATGAGACAAAGCTTGCGTGACAGCCTTTAAAGTTGATCCAGACGGTTCCCTGGTTGCACAGAGTCCATCTCTGCTCGTCTGCTGCGCTCCACCTGCCTCTGCTTCACGTCTACAATCTTACACAACCATGAACGACAAGCATGTGAGCTCATTCTGAACATGTTTTAAAACGTTACATCACTTTCCATGTCATTTACAGCTGAGTAAAGTTACTATATTTAAGTTACGATTAATGTTGACAGGCACAACTTGCAGGGTAATATTTAACTATTTCGGAATGGAATGTGGCCTTTGTTGTTGTTGTCATCATCCTGTGACAAATGCAACCGCCAATGCTGCTAACACTGCTAACTATGCTAACACTGCTAACTATGCTAACACTGCTAACTATGCTGAAGATGGCATTTAAAGTTTTAATTAAAAATGTGTTCATTGAAAACAATATGGATGGTACCTGTGGTCCAGGAGTCTTAAGTGCAGTCAGGACACTTGACACAACTGCAGCGTTAGCGGTTGTCGCAGGGTGATGACATCATAACAAAAGCAGTGCACAAACGGCACAGGTTTCATTCAATTCTGGAATACTTAAAGGGGCAATATCATGTAAAATCTACTTTTTAAAGTTTTATATCATGTTATAATGTTATACTCTCATAAAAAAACATGTCCAAAGCCTTGCTTTGACTCATTCATCATGTTTGAGAAATCCTGCAGTGTTTTTATGAAGCCATGCTGAGGAGCAAAACGACAGGTGGGGACCAGAAACACCTTTTGGGACCAGAAACGCACCTGGGACGTGTCTTTAAGCCGAACTTCCTCATGGCGGAGCGCCCCCTCCACCCCACACACCCCGCCCATGACTCCTGCAGGCTCTCGAGTGAAAGTGCAAGTGAAACCTAACTGTCT